CTTTTAAGTAATGAAAAATTTGCTATATAGAAATCATTGTTACAGAGGAAATTTGAGTGAAAAATTGTGGATGCATAATTTGTTAACCACTTTAATTTGAATCTTTGTGAGAGAAAATAAAGAAGATAATAATTAAGCAATATTTCAAAAGAAAAACCAATTGGCTTCAGAAAGTTGGTGAAATTCTTCATTGTTTCCATTGTAAGGGTTAGCCAAATTTTCCCCAGAATCATTAAGGAATGCTAGGGCTGAATTGCCCTGTGATTTAATCCATTGGTATAAATTCTCTTTATCTAATCTCTTAATTAAAACCAATAAGGAAGGATTGTTTGTTTATATATAGGATCTGAAATCCTTCATATTCATAACTGAGATGACATTTCTTTTTCTTTCTTCAAAGTTAGAAAGTCTACAGGAGGTTCCAATTTGGTCCAAGCATGGGCTTTCCAGATTTCTGGGAGAATGAATTCAGAGGAATGGTTCAGGGACACCGGGTAAGAATTTCAAATGAGAGTGTTGCTGGGCTAACTCAATATAATCCAAGAATCAGGAGAGCCAATGTCTATGGACATTTTCTAAACAGAATCACATAAATGTTTAGTGTGAGATATTCTGGAATGGTGATGTAAATATGAATATAAGGGGCAATGGCCCAGCAAGAAATCATTTTCTTTCTCAAGATCCTGCTTGTAAGGAAAATATCACCTCATTGCTCTTGCTTTTAAGGAAACCAAAGATCAAAGGAAAATTTATTCCCAGACACACTACATCTGGTTCTGCTCTGTTGGTCTGCTAATTTCCATTATTAAATTCTGTATCCTTGGCTAAAGGATATATCTACAACTTAGAGGGGGTCTTATGTATGTACATGATTTCTTTTTTGCCAACCCATAAACCATCCACAACTGGAAATTACTACTCTATATGTGCAGTTGAGCAATGATTAAGGCAAGTGTATTATGAAGTGAAATTAGCTGATATGTGTTAGTGATCCTTAAAAGTAACCTAAAAATTTATACAAATACTTTCCTCCTCTATGTTTTTAAAGAGTAGATAGTAGTATAAACACATGTGTCTGGGATACATGTATTTTCTTGTCTCAGTGGGTGCAGCATTTTATGTTAAGGAGTATGATCCTGGGTTATTACTGGCTATTACTGGAGCATTATATGGCTTTGCTAGACTGTGAGAGATTAGCATAGTCCTAGGGCATGATTTACATACCTGGCTTTGTACTTTATGAGCCGGTTATTAATATGTCTAGCATGTGTTTAGAAGAAGTTAGGTGAAGCTAGGCTTTTCTCTAAAGATCAGGTCTATAATGTAAAAAATGTAGTATAAATAAGAATGTTCATGTGTCATAGGGGGATACAGAGGTTTGATTTATAAGAAACCTATTGTCAACCTAGTAACCAATAAGAACAACCAATGGTCCTAGGACAGAAGAAGTCAGTTATCTTATGAAACAACATTCAAATGAACTCTTGAAACAGCCAAAGAGACTTGGAAGAAAATTATTAGAATACAATTCAAAAGATATAGGAGTAATAATGAGTAGGAATAGTTCAGTTTAACTTTTAAACTCAGGGCAGAAGTTCAGTTTTAAGACAGAAATCCAAGGAGACATTGCTAATGAGTCTTACATAGCCACTGATGGAGATAAACTCTTGCAAATAATAATCCAAATGGATCATAGTGCTGCAGTTGGCCCCCTTAACTTGTGAACAATAATCAATAATCTCAAAGGAAGATAGTTCCAACTTCATTTTCATTGATCCAATCAATAATTATTGAATTATTGAACGATTGAGTGATTCCCTATGAATAGTTTATTACCTGATAAGCAATATTAAGAACCTACTATGAGTGAGGATCTGTGCGGCGTACATTTTCATGTACCTCAGACATTGCACAAAAAAGATTTCAAATTGCCAAAAGAGGACCTGAATAGACATTTTTCCAAATAAGACATACAAACAGCCAACAGATATATGTAAAGATGCTGAATATCACAGATCATCAGGGAAATGCAAATCAAAACCACAATGAGATACCACTTTATAGCTGTTAGAATGGCTAGTACCAAAAAGCAAGAAAAAACAAATGTTGGTGAGGATGTGGAGAAAACAAAACTCTTGTGCAGTTGGTAGGAATGTAAATTGGGTACAGTCTCTATGGAAAGTAGCATGGAGGTTCCTCAAAAAGTTAAAAACAGAAGTACCATATAATCCAGTAATTTACATGAAGAAAATGAAAACATTAATTTGAAAAAATATATGCACCCCTATGTTTATGTCCATCAGTAGATGAATGGATAAAGATGTGGCATATATACACAATGGAATATTACTCAGCCATGAAAAAGAATGAAGTCTTGCCATTCATGACAACATGAATGGTTCCAGAGAGTATCATGCTAAGTGAAATAAATCAGACAGAGAAAGACAAATACCATATGATTTCACTTATATGTGGAATCTGAAAAACAAAACATAACAAACAAACAAACAAACAAAAAACAGAGACAAACTCATAAATACCCAGAACTGGTAGTTGCCAGAAGCGAGGGAAGTAGGAGGTAGCAAAATAGATGAAAGGGATTAATAGGTACAAACTTCCAGTTATAAAATAAATAAGTCACAGGGATGAAATGCACAGCATAGGGAATATAGTTAATAATATTGTAATAACTGTGTGGTGACAGATGGTGACTACACTTGCAGTATTTTGTAATATATAGAATTGTTGACTCACTATGTTGTACACCTGAAACTAATATAATATTATATGTCAAAAAATTGCCAAATGTAGAAGCAGCAGTAGGTGTTGTAATATTAATAAACAAGCAAATTTGCCTCCACCTTTTCTATAGACCCTGGTACATATCTCCATTACAGCACTTACCATATTGTTGAGTAACTTATTCTTTACTTTTTATGTTTCCCTGAACTTTTTCTGTGGGACTGAAATATTTTTATTCCTTTTTTAACCCTATGGTCAACGCTGTTGCTGGTTAAATAAATAAGGGTTAACCCAAATTTCCAGTAGACCATACAGCAAAATAAATAAAGATGTCAAAACTATAATTTAATCTTTAAATTTCTGGGGAAGAGTGGATTCTAGGGAAAGCATGTTATGTGAGTAAATTATGTATATGCTCATGTATGTTAATTAACATTTGTCTTTCATAAACTAGGCATCCTGCCTCTATGGATGTTCTAATAGTCCGTACAACTCTTTATCTGCCCTGTCCACATTTTACAGTGATTATTTATGTTTTTGTCTTCCAGTATTCTAAGAAAGAGCAAGCCCCATTGAGGTGGTAAATGTGGACTATTACCCTTTGTGTCCCCAAGGTTTATTACAGTCCTCGGCACACAGACCAACCTCAGTAGATTTTTAAGGAATGAATGCAGATGTGGTGAATTTTCTCAATGTAGTTAGCATAGAAGACAATATATTGAAAAGAATAACAAGTGAAATGATTCCATTTGTATGTCTCTACAAAATAGGGAAGATCATATTATGTAGTTTATGCTTGCATTTTAATACCAGATAATGGCCATCTAATGAAAGTTCATCATGCTATATTGTAGGAGACATTATTTCTTCTTTGGGGGAGCTGCTTTTAGCTAAAAGTGACTGATTACTCTTTAGAATGGTTTGATCCCATTTCTACTTTCAGGTGAAGTATCTTTTTAAAGCAAGGGATTTTTAGTCTTAAACTTTGGGTTTCCTTGCCCCAGTTCAAATAAAAAACAAAAACTTATTCAGCCACCAATTCTTTTTGGGTTCAGTAAATGATATAATTATTTGTTAAGACCAAAATCCAGGAGTCATCCTTGAATGTTTTCCTTTCTTCTCCTACCTGCTAAGCCCCTCCCCCAGCCCATTAATCATGGCCAGTGTCCAATCAATTAGCAGGTTCTATGACTCTGACTCCAAAATATATTCTCAATCTGTCAGTTTTTACCACTTCTTTTCCATTAAGGTCTTGCCTTAATCATTGTAGTTGACTCCTAACTGGTCTCATTGTTTCACAGGACAGCAGGAAAGAGTTTTGAAATCCACTGAAATCCATCAATGGCTTGCCCCTGAACCTAAAATAAAAGCCAACCTCCATACCATGTCCTCAGTGCCCTACTTGATCTGGCCTTCACTGAAATCTTCACCTTAACCTCCTACCACCTGCTCCTCTCCATCCACCTCTAGGCCCTAGGCCTTCTTGTCATTGGAACATACTAGGCTTATTTCCATGTGCATGACTATTATTTTTGCTGTTCTCTCTTCTTAGGATACTATTCTCATGGATTTCCACAAGGTGGATCATTAATTATACGGTGTCTCATCTCTTCCTAGAGGCCTCTTTAAAAATAACATCCCTGCTCCAGTCACCCTCTATCCCATTTCTTTGCTTCAGTTTCTTATTAATAAATTAAACTCCTCATTTCCTCATATTATTTCTTTGCATGCTAACTTGTTTAATGTGTGTCATCTCTACTAGAAAGAGATTAGGGTTTGTGTCTGCCTTGTTTACTGTTACATCCTCAGAGCCTTGAATGGTAGTTGCTCACTAGGTATTTTTGGAATGATTCAAGGCTATTTCAGTGTAGGAAATGTGCTAGTTTTATGATACGTAGACCAGGGGTGGTGACTGCTATGGGCAATATACCAGATGTATTGAGACCATGAATTCATGCCTCATTGTCCATTCAAGGTTTATAAGAAAATGAAAATATTATATTTCAGACAATTCAGCCTGGAACAGGATTAGTATCTCAGGGGAGAAGTCCACTAACAATTTGAGGAAACCTAATTTGTTCCATTAACAATCTATTGAAAAAATATTTCCTTCAATCTTATTAGATATATAAACATGTTTATGTCATCTGGGGGGAGATGGGGAGCAAGTCATCTGCTGGGTTTCTATGCCATTACATGTTACATATCACTCTAGGACATTGCTTAATTACTGTAATAAACATTATTTGCACACTGACCTTTTTATCCCTCCAAATGTTTGTGCATGACCTAGGAATTTTCCAAAGTCAATATGAAACATGTGGCCTGACTTTGTCAGCATGATATTGTCGTTATGTCGGTCACAGACTCCCAGGATGAACGTTACCACACACCAGCCAGCACAGGAATAGAAAAAGTTCCTCAAGGCCTAATCAGTTGAAAAACAATAACACAAAGATAACACACACACAAAATAAGCAAATGCATTAGCATCAGAGCTAATGGTAAAAACTATCATAAAAAGCAAAATTACATAATCGAGAACTACTTCTACATCTCAGTTGAGAGAAGATTATGATTAAATGACTGGCTCTTGATAGGCTACAGAACATGAAGCAACCTCTTCTTTGGCCTAATGGATGTTTTCATTGAAATTGTGCAAAATATCTCTTTTACTCAGTCAGATCTAATTTTCATAGTTTATTGAAGAAGATTCCTGGTGTGGTTTTTTGATGTCTCAAATATACAATATTGAATGATTTTTTTTCAAGGTGAAAGAAGGAACAAAATGATTCAATGTTGCCTATTCCCAGAGAAATTTAAAGTATCTATTTTGAATCTTTGAATTTTTAACACAGAAAAAGCCATATTGAGATATATGTAATATTTTATGTTTATCTTTATAAATAGGTAATCCAGTTGCTATCCCAAAGTGATTTGGTACAGTATATATCAGTGAATGTCTGTGTGGGTGGAAGTAGATTACTACTGAGTCAATTTTGCCTTCTGTTTCTTTAAGAAACAGAGGTTTCTTGCCAAAATTACTCTTTATTTTCAAAATGGTCCCTGGGTACACATCATTTTCATCAATGATGCAACTTTGACTGTAACCATGGTGTAACCATGAGTGAGTGGTTGGGCCGCAGTAATGGGTCTCCTAGAATGGTGTGGCTGACCTGCTGAAGTGGAAATCTGTGTCACTGAACTATATGTCTTAGTTCTCGATATCCCAAGTACCTGAACAAGTCATTTAATTTGTCTCTCTAGATATTTTTCACTTATAAAGTGAAGATAATAAAAGATACCCTTACATGGTAGTTGTGAAGAGCAAATGTATGTGAAAATACCTCAAATGATATAACCCGAGAGATTTGTTAAAACTCAAGCTATAATTTTGGGAATGGCTAAAAAAGATTTCAAGATAATGTCATCTTATCTTTGTTATTTGACCTCCAAAGGCCTGTATTTTGTTCTACTCCAACCTCACAGAAGTCTGGAATAGATGAACTCTTGGGTCTCTCTATCACGGCCTGTTCTAACTTGGGTGACCAATTGTCCCAGTTTGCTCAGGACTGAGGTGTTTCCTAGGATGAAGGAATTTCAGTGCTCTGGACAGTTCCAAGCAAACTCAATGTTAGCCTATATTGTATCTTTGTGTGAATTAGCATAAAGGTACCTCTGCTTCCGGGTAGACCCTGTTGTACCAGTTCATGCCTTGGCAAGTAGAACAAAGCCTGGTTTTAACCAACTCATCCCCTTAGCTGGGAGCCCTGGTGTGGGGCAGAATCTGCACATCTGTACACTGCAGACCAGATGCCAGTATGAAGTAAAGTGGGAAAAAAGGTTTGCAGTCAAATAAAACGCTACATTTTGTAAAGTTCTGAGATGCTAAAACAAAAGCAAAAACAAAAACTCTATTATGCCTTCTGCAAACACTAAAAGAATAAGGCCTGGAAGAGTAGAGCTCAGCAGAAGAAATGCATTGCAAAGGAAGGAGGGGGATTTATAGAAATTGGAGATTGTGTACAGACATGCAGAGGTAACTTGAAAGAGATAGTTTCAAGGAACATCATCTCAGAAGAGATAGCTGTAGGAAGTAAAACCAAATACAGAAATTTTACCTAGTTAATATACCATTTAAACTGGATCATTATTACTAAGCTGATGACAGTGAATTAGAACTCAAGGTGTACTTAATTTACTTTTTCATAAACCACATTAGCTAATGATCCAGAGCATCCAGAGCATCTTATTTAGTACATTATTTAAAATTAGCTACAGCAGGACAAACCTTTTCATAATCTGCCTTTAAATGGTTGTGCTGACTGAACCACTTTTTGATTGTGTTTTCTTTCAATGGTCCTATCAGTCCAGAATGGCGATGGATCTTTGCTAGGGTTATGGCATCAGGTACCATCTGCACCAACCCTGGTTGATAAAAAAGAGATTATAGAAATAATTCTTTCTTCACAGGATGAGGAATACTTAGGAATCACATCTTGATCTACGTAACAAAAATAGTTGCCAGCACTACGTGGGTTACCCTTTTCTTTGCAAACCTTCTTTTCTGAAGGAGACTTACCTAGATGGCCTTTCTAATTTTTCCAAATCCTAGGGGGCAATGAGGCAATTTGTAGTGTTTGGGATCACATCTATCAGAAGAAAGAAGAAAGAAAAAA